GGCCAAATTTCCAGTCTCGTTTAATTTAGTGGTATTACCACTAATAGCATTCGACTGATGGTCCATTTCCATCCTTTGCTTGTAGCTGTATCACAACTCCAGTTTGAAGAACCGATACGGCCTCAAGTGAAGCTACTAGAACGAGCGGCAAATAGTCGCTTAATTTATCGAAATCTGCCCCTGACTTATATGTGTGGAGATCCAGAGACTACCGAAGAGTTCCTCATCAAAAATGTGTCTTATTGTTCTTACCTCTGATCCGTGCACTTCTTCTGTGATCACGTTCCAAGTTTCAATCTTGAGAACATTGATCCTCCACTTGAAAGGTCCATCAGCTTCGGTTTTGATAAGTTCGGATCCACATCTCCACCTCTCTTACATTGGTTGACCCTAAAGTGAAAAGTCGAAACACATAAAATTCTCCATTCATATTATGGTCTAGAAGGTACTCTACGTTCACAGTCGGTGAGGCGTGCGCCGAGTGGACGGAGCCAAGACCGAAAGTTAATGTCTGTTGGAAAAATTTTTAGGAATCTGGAAGAAGCTTCTCAGAAGCCCTCGGAGAAAGGGTAATCACAGGCCCACCTTAAAGGCATAGTTCACGATAATTTTGAGGTATCTGTTTTAATTCGAAAGACGGAAGTATAGATTGGGAATAGTTCATCGGTAGTGAAGAAAGCGAGAGAATCCGCCGATTCCGAGAAAAAATAAGGCTATTCAAAAGTAGGAAAAATAGAGGTTAAACGAGATTTTCATGCCATGGAAATGGCATGGAAGAGGTATTCGGACGAGGTTTCAGTTATTGCAATTGCGCAGAGTTGACTACGACGAGCCGGAACTGTATAGAAGTGCCTTTCACTGTCGCTATGGATCATAACAAGTTGTTTTATCTTCGTACATAGGTTCTCTTGTGTTCGGTGTAGTCTATAGTCTAGATGCCGGTGAAACTCGTCCGAGTATACACACGGGCCAATCTTTGACTCTCTATAACTTCCTAATTACCCCGTTTTCCGACCTAATAGTGCCAGATATGTTACACGTGGTGGCTTCAAATTCCTCCTGTGGGGGAATCCAGAAACTATTTTTAACGTAAACTGCACTTTTAAGCGAAGAGTGCGCCGAAGTGTACAGAGCTATGATTAAGAGTTCATAACTGTTCAAAAACGTTATTGTTGTCAACCGCTTGTTAGATGGTTTATCATAAATGATTGTTCAAAAAAATTTACAGCTCCAAAAATCACCAAAAATAAATAATACATGCAAAGAAAATAATACACAGTAATCGTTCCCATAGGAAACCTCTATAGAGGCACCACACACACACCGTTAGGATATTTACAGTGAAAGTTGGAAAAATTAGGATTAAGAACAACACGTCCAAGTGACATGTGATCATTTCTCGCACCATACATCAATTTCTTCTGAGCCATCTTGGAGCCGAGGATGTTTTTTCAGGAGGTGGAGCATAGTCCGAATTCGTAGAATCTCTTGTACCACCGGGTCTTTTCGTTATACGCTCCTCCTCCTCTACAACAGCCGTGTACGGCTTGAACATTGAATTCACCGACAGCCTGAACAAACACATTCTTCTGACAACACCATTAGTCAGAAATATCAGAAAGAAACAGTAAAACAAATGGAATAGGCATAGTCTTCCAATGACCAACCAAATCGTGCTCAATCGGTCCGCTTCGTCCTGAGTACATTCTTGCAACTTGTCTTTCAATAGAAGAGATTCTAAATTAAATATTTCTATACATTCGGCAAAATTTCAACATAATTTAGAACCATCATTTCGCAGTGAATGATGGATTTATATGGACCGACGATTCTCCGCGCTCGTGTAGCCTGCACACTTTTTGACTGAAGGGCTTTCAAGTCAACATTTCAGAGGCTGTTGGCCTATTTTTCACCAAAAGAGTTTGAATAGGTAAAAAAAGCTGGTGAAAACAATGCCGATGGGTCTTTGCGCTCTGAGAATTGTCGGTTCATATTAATAGGATCCTGATGAACGCTTACCAAAGGACATTGAATCCCTGAACCTGACGACCACAGTGGATTTGGGCGCCAACTCCGCATCCACGAAATTCATCGAAGTCGACTCTTCTATGTTATAGATCAGTGCAAGCTTTATGGAAAACGGTATGTTGCGCGATATTATAGAACGAATCCATTCGAAAAGTCGAGCAACTGGAACAAAATAAATCAAGCACGTGGAGAGGTCGTACTGGATTACGCATCTTACCCGGTTCCGCGCTGAGGAACTGTGCTTGAATCATTCTTTCATTGCAGAGCGGAATCCTGATTACGGTATGGCGATAAGCAGTCAATTTCCTCTCTCTATTCTTCTGCTTTACATATTGTGCGGAAATGAGAGCGCGTTGGGTACTTAACCTGCTAAAAACAAAACCGTTTGAAAATCCTGCTGTTTTCTTTTCCAAGACAATGGCCAACTCGAAAGTTTCGGCCATTTGATTTTGGGAGCATTAAAATTACTAGATTATAAATAGCAAGACAATTAATAACATTAGAGCTCATAATATGTATTAGAGCAGGCAAGGTGAGCCAACCAACATCTCAATGTTCCTTATATGAATTATGAGCAGCACAATAAACAATGCTAATGTGTTGTTCAGAGATTGAGTAAACAAAAAACACCTACACTTCTTCTCGAAGTTCTTTTTGTCGGGCTTTCACGTCATCAACGCTAACTTCGAAGAAATCGTCACTTAGGCCTGCTTCCATGTCATTCCATTCGAATTTCATCCTTGAAAATCATTCTATAATTTCAGAGTTAGATTAAAAAGCGACTATAGTGAAGCATACACATCGACGAGCGTCTGAAACTGCTGAGCAAGAGTTTACTTGCAAGAAAACGTCATATAAAACTTTAAGAGCTCACCGACGTTGGAAAACAACCGGCTGCCGCTCGCATGGGGGAGTGGAATTAGCTGGACTAACAACGGGAGGTGCCTCTTCCTTTAAAAGAACAGTATTTACATCAGCAGCGAAATCGGGAGAGATGGATTGAGAATCACCGCACCGATTCCTCTGAACGGGTAGCTTCAATGGCAATGCGTGACAGGGGCACACGTCCTTCTTGGGCAAGGATATCAGTAAGTCTATCATGCTCCGATTGTGGTCTGCTCAAAGATGTATCTACCTAAAATCCAGTTATCCAAAAGCATCCAAAAATAAGGAAAATCGAGAATCTGTTTCGGCATTATGCAGTGACTTCTTTGCTCAAGGAATACAGGGAAAATAGCACGTATCAATCTTCAAAGGGTACCACAAACACTGCCAAAAAGTTTAGTAGTGGAAAAACTCGTCTCTCGGAGCTTCACTATATCGACGAATATTTCACCTATTCAGTGGAGCTGGTGTATTGGAAAGTAACGCACACTGTGGTCCGGGTTCGAACCCGAATCGATACTCGCTCAGGCCAACCTAGCCTTCTGATTACTAGGTTAAATGATACCAGAACACTGGTATCATTTAACCTAATAATGGTTCAGAACACTGACTTGTACATTGGCCAAAATTCTAATCTCTTTTTATAACGGAGCCGGGCTGGAGCTCAGTCAAAGGACGGTTATACCCTTTCATAATTCGAGATGAAGCACGCTCACATCAGCTTGACATCAAAGAGCAAGTTATGAGCTTCTGATTCTAGCACTGCCGGGTCACGGGTCCCGACTACATTGGACCGACCTTTCTTTGAAGACCTGTAGTCACTTTGTTCTCCCAGATTCTGTATGGTCTTCGAACAAAATTATGACCTTTCGAATGAAGTAATTTCATCTGAGAGCAAGCACGGCCCATCGTAGACGGATTTTTGTGCTCTTGTAATTAATTCTGTACTCTGTGTACTCTGTAATGTACTCTTGTAATTAAGTTAGGGAGTTTAACCCTTGGCATTGCCCATCCCGGTACATGTCCCTATACACCCTAGGCGGAGCTTGCTGAACTCACATGTGCTTCGCTGATCTTCCTCTATGTCCTATCCATTCCAAACTTGACCTTATCTCTTATGTTACATCGTCAGACAGTATCAACTTCGCGATAGACCGACAAAGAAACGCTACCGTTTTATAAATGACCAGATATTGACTTACAGGCACAGTTCACGATAAAAATGGTTCCTGAGTTTCCCCCACAGGATGAATTTGAGGCCCCGCGTATAACATAACTGGCACTATTAGGTCGGAAAACGGCCTAGTTGAGAAGGTATAAAAGGCTCAAAGATTAGCCCGCATCCTCGGACGAGTTTCTCCGGCATTGTAGAGGCTGTACCGATCACAAGCATGACCCACAGCGGCAATGAAAAGCAGTTCTGTACAGTTCTGGCTTGTTGTAGTCAGCTCTTTGTACAATTGCAATAACTGATCTCGTCCGAATACCCCTCCCATGTTATTTCCGTCGTGGTAATCTCGCCCAACCTCTATTTTCCCTATTTTTAGGAACCATATTTTTCTCGAAATCGGCGACTCTCGCTTGCTTCGCTACCGATGAACTATTCCCAATCTATATGTCCGCTTTTCGAATAAAAACGGGTACCTCTGAATTATCGTGAACTGTGCCTTTAAAGGCACCGTTAACATGATTTTGGGTAATCCAGATTATAATGAAAAACGAAAGACAAGATCGAAACTAGTGCGACTGAGGTGAAGAAACTGCGTGCNCTTCCCCTATGCCCTATCCATTCCTAACTTGACCTTATCTCTTATGTTACACCTTCAGACAGTACCGAACTACGCGATATACAGGCAAAGAAACCTTTCCGTTTTATATGTGGCCAGATATTGGCTTAAGTCTCATCAGGGACCCTAAAAGAATGGAAATCTTTACTGCACTGGACAAATTCAACCCCGTGTATATTAAGGTAAAGTCCTAAGCACTTGTGCCAGATTCATGTCAAACACCTAATCGTTACCTACCTATAATGCAAGAAAAATTCAGGATTAGCAATAAGCAATAGGTTAGGTGATTGAAAGCGCTGACATGAATGAAAAGTAGTTTTTTGATTTTGACAATGCCGTTTCTGAGAGTGCCCCTGCTATAATTCATTCAACTCAGAATCGTAGTGAGGTCTTGAACGAGTATACGGCCAGTACAATGACTTGCTGATGTACAAGTCAGTGCTTTTATTTTTCCAGGCGAGACTTACACCACTCAACCGACCTCAAAAAGATGAAAGCCGTGTTTGGCCTAAGCGGGTATCGATCTGAAATTCAGTCTAGGACCAATCGTATGAGAGCTGGGCCACCTGTCACTCCTTCACGTCCGCCCTTTTATAGTAATGAAATCCAGAAAAGTTACAAAAATTTTTCACCTGCTGCAGAAGTCTACTTAGATTTGAGAGCCTGTCATCGGGTACTGACGGTGATGACGGCACCCTCGAGAATACGGGCGCATCAAACGACCTTGAAACAGTGAAAGTGAGAAAAATAAGAATGGTCGCAATCGCGCAGAAAAAATACCATCCGGTTGGATTTCTGGGAGGATCTTGCAGTATGTCTCGAGAAAATCCTGGATTTAGGGATCTGAAGAACTATTTTGAGAGGAGACGATTTACTAGAAGAAAATATTCGTCGTACTGTGAGACTTGATTATTAGTGTTCGCTCGTTCCTCTACCGCAGTCATCGCACTGATAGATTTTTTCCTTTCTTCTTCCAAACGCAACTCCTCCTCGAATCGCTGGAATTAGAATAGCCTCACCCATATGGATTAAAAAAGGATTCTTTTTCTCTGAACCACCAACTTTCAAACGAGCAGCTTCAAGCTGAGCTCTGCTCTCATTTTCGGCTTTCATCCTTTCATAGTTAGCAAGCAGCGCCTCCTTCTCCGCTGCATCATTAGCTATTCGTGCTGCTATTTCGTTCTGTTGTTCTTTGGACAAAGGAACACGCTGGTATCTGAATAGACGATGCTTTGTGGGAAAGTAACCAAAAAACGGCTTTAATTTACTCATCTAACCATAAACGATAAAGTACGTGTGAGCTCAGCAGAGCTCCGCCCACATGGGGGCGGGACATGCACTGGAGTTGGGTAGTGCCATAGGCAGATTTATCCAATTTGATTACTAACACCCAGACGCCGGAAAAAACCGAGCAAAGGCACGGTATGGGTTACAAATGGGATGGAGACACTCGCGGTAGGTGGAGCGTTCTCACAATTGGCGGTATTTTCTACATAACTTTATATGTCAGCCTACTGATACTCTAGGATAAATTCTTGGGAGACTAGCTTATCTTTGCTCAAACTTTCTTTGTTGTAATGCACACGTTATAGAAAATGGTTCTTAAGCAAGCCAAACATTCGTAGAACCATGTATCAGAGGGATAATCTTTGCACCAACCACAGCTTTGCTCATCATTATTAGTTTTACATTTGAGTGCACTCGCAGGATTACCTTATAGGGGTATAGGTGCACCTAACCGGATTCCCACTTCAAGCCGCAGTGGTTTTGGGGTGATTACTGTGCTCTTTTACCAATTGTTCATGTTACCCCGCGCATCGATACGTCGTACACGGTACACCCTTGGGTAGAAGGACCATTACCCACGTTAAGTAGAGAGAACTTAGGACACAAGGAATCCAGTCAGGTTTTAAATTGTTGATATCGACCTTAAAGGGTGAAGGAATCATCGTGGTTTTTCATGCTTCTGTAACCACAATCAAGACAAAAAAAAACTGTAGAGAGCAAACAAAAAACTAGTTCCCATTCGTTAATCACCTTATGAGACACTTTCCAGTAGATATTCCAATTGAAGAAAACGTCGTGCTTCGCAGTTCAGCTGGCCCAGTGTACTAAAATAGCTTTAGCACTAACTCAAAAGGGCATCAAAAGTAAAACAAATTTCAATGTGAACTTGGCATTGTATGAGGTTCAGCGATAGCCCCCAACAGTTACTGCTGTATTTCATGGAAAAGGAATAAAATTAAGCTTAATTATTTCAAATCCATGATAACAGTCACTCAGTATGGCGGCTTTAGTGATCACTCATCCAGATAAAATCCACTTCATAATCTCTCCGGAGATGACGGCAACAGTCAGGTTAAATCGAAGGCTCTACGGCTATCTTTCAATTAACAGATACTAAGATGGCCTTACCTGCCGATTCATATAGCTACAAGTTGGCGTTGATGAATCATCAGTAGCTGTTAGATCTTTGTTCGCAGACTGCGAGAAAAACGCTAACATTTCAAACAGGGATGAGGTAACTGGAAATGTGTTCTCCATCCTTGATCCACTGGGGAGCTTAAATGTTTCATGTGAGATTAGATTAGGAGCTCATAATTCTCAACAAATTGAGAAAATTAGTAAAAAATAAAAAACAATTGCAGTCTGTATGACAGCGAAAGACGTACACCACCTGTAAGGCTATTGTGACCACTGAGTTCGATACATTTTTCGTTGCTTTCACCATCTCAAGTGTAGCATTGTTGGGTAAGCCGCTAAGCCTGTAAACAATCTCAGAGACTTCTAGCAAAGAAACTAGAGACGTAGAAACGTGAAAGATATATTGGAAAAATATAGCAAAGGCGAGGCGAAAGGGCAAAGATCTAGGTGTATGCGGGACCCAAAATATCTAAAAAGTGATTCGGAAAGAAAAATTGGCAAGATAATGAATCTGTAGGGATATAAGACGACTAGCCAAATATCAAATAAGCAGGAAATAAGACGAATGGTATAGAAGAACTTATTTAGAGAAATTTTAAATATCGAAGAAGAATCGAATCAATTATGAGTAAAATGAGGTGAAGTACTAGATGAAGGACAGCCATGCAAGCTAGGTTTTGGAGAGGTTCAGTGCAATCGATTACATCAACACTGCCACAAGAATCATTAAAGAATGGCGAGGGTACAGAACGCATTTATGTCTTACGTTCATGGGTGGTCAGATTCTTCAAGAAAGCTCTAAACGAGAGGAATGCTATGCCTCATGTCCCTCGAGCGAAGACGATTTACTGGTCTACTTTGGCAGGTGACAGTAACGAATGAAGACGTTACGGGCGATCACTCGAGGAAATCTATGACCTACTGGTGACACACGGTTCATGTGAACCATAAAGGACTTGTGAAAGGTATAATGACAATTTGCTGTAGAAAACAGTAGAAGAAATAGAAAACAAGCACCAAATATATTATGGAGGGTACCTGAAGGGTAGGGCGAGGTCGATATGACGATTTTGGTTGAGCAGCTTATACTCATCTGCATCAAAGCCATTCTTCAAACATGCCTCCTCTAGCACCTGAAACTCAGAATCTCTTAAGAAAGTATTTTCCCCTTATAGTATTTTCTGCATAGCCAGCCTAAATTCGGAATTCTCTTCGATTCGGATCTTTGTGTGTGATAATAAATATAAACAAATAAAATAGAGTAGGAGGTAGACGGTACAATAAGGAAGATCTAGTTTCGATCCTTACTGAGTTTTAGGCCTTGTAGCTGGAAGAGCCGACTTCTTCACAGATATTAAAGTGGAAGAAAGTCTTTTTAAAAGATTGGGGAGGCTGACTAGTGGCTTCACTATTTAACAGGCAACCCGATAACAGCGCAGTCGAGAGTGTGAACATGACTCCAAACTAAATTCAAAACATAAAAAGGGTCTGAGCAAAGTACTGACCTGCTTCATCAACATGCTTGGTGTTACCCTCACAGGACATCTTTTAGCGTTCGGGCAGAGAACTGTCACGCTACTCATTGAGGAACGATGGGACAGAAATACCTGGAAAAACGATCGTTTGAATAACTAACAAAGCTGGGCACATTGCTGCAAACCTCAAATCAAACCGAGCTCAATCACGGAGACGGTCATTCAGCGGTAAGAGGCACGGTTTATCATCATTCAAGTCAACACATAAAAATAACAAAATATAACTGCGTACCCTAATCCTTCAGCGCTGACCCTCATCCCCCTTCCCCTACCCCCTCATTTCAAATAACTGATGGCCAATGGGCGTTTCCAGATGACAACGGCAAGAAAATGGGGAATTGGGAAAATGTCATGGGAAAATCGCTTAAACGAATGATCGAACAAGAGAAAACTCTTACGTGAAACTTAATTCATGTAATCCAATCATAGCAGAGAAGCAGGGACCAAAGTATTACGAAATATTTCAACAACACCGAGAAACTTCGTTTGTAGGAAGCCCGAACAATCCCTTAATCACCATCGGTTAGCAAATTTTGGGTCGAGATACGGTATATATATCGGTACGCAATTACACTGAATCACTGTAGCTGTTTTTTACGCATGGATGTACTGATCGTACCATAAGCACCTATCAGGGTGCTGAAAGGTCGCATGTTTATCTTCACGTGACGTCCCGTCCACACATAAATTTTATATTGCTGCGCCCCATATATTGCATGGTGAGCTTTTTATGGGTATGGTTCAAAAACGCGTGTTTTTTATTTGTTGCTTTCGACGATCTTCAAAAATTCGCGACTAAACATGCAACCTGAGAGGTAGTGTGGTCTTCTAAATTTTCTGAGGAGTAGTGAGTTGATATGTATCAAATGTATGCCTGATTAAATGCGGAAGGGCAAAAAAGCTAACAGTTTTTTTTAGATATGGAACATAGTCCGTCAACGTCTTCCGGGAATTTTCGGCAGGAGATCCTCAGTAGACTGGAAGAGAGGAATTCTAGGGTTCGACCATGGGCTGCTGTCTTCAAAAACTGTACGTTTTTTATTTCCATTTTCTTAATCCACAGACTTGATTAGGATTGTTTGTCTTTTCTTGGATTGTCGTCATCACTTTTCATTGATTAGTGTTCAGATAGTTTGATGTCCGATGACTTGATTCGTATGCGAAAGAGGTTCGATAATCGCTCAATGGACGTAGCAGAGTGAGTTTTTTTATTTAAATACTGCTTTGCCGTACAGGTTTGTTATGGCTGAACCGCTTTATTGGTCAACGTTTCGACTGAATCGTCGTCTTCAGGACCTGAAAATAGTTCGAAGCTCCTGATCTGTGACTTACCCGACCAAGCGCCCAAACGCGCTAGGCTAGTTGCAACGACTCCCGGAAACTAAAATACGGAAAAGTTCCAGCAAAGAGACCAACCTTCTGCGGTTCCACCAGCGTTACGTCCCACTCTATGTGAACAACAAGGGATCAATGAGTCACCATTGATGATCGTAAGATAAGAACTGTGCGGGTGATCTCAAAGTCCACAAAAGGGAATGAACGGCAAGAGTTCACTTGTTATGGTCAAGCACTCATTTCGGTTGTTCAGGCCTGGATTTTTCGTGCGAATATGTAACGCTTCCAGTATCTTTCTGGCACCGATCTCATTCTCGTAGGCTAGGATTTTACATTCGATGTCGAAATCATTGCCTTGATGACCTTCTAGTCGGTGCCTCCCAAGTGGTGTTAGTAGACTTCC